TACACACACAGACAACCTCGCGTCAATATGCGTTTTTCGCATTGCATTGCTGCAAAAAACGCATAAAAAAGAAAAAATCGCCACCAATAAAAGTGGTAAATCAGTTTTAACTTGGATGGATGGGGATATGTGTCATAAGCATACAAAACAAGGCAAAAATCCATAAAAGTACATATATATTGATGGGCACCCCGTCATCAACACTCTTCCAAATTTTTATGCGTTTTTTGGATCTATGCATGCAAAAAAGCATATTTTTGAGAGGTGGTCTGTGTGTGCGTCTGTACCGATTTTTCATCTCCAGACCTGACAAAGCTAAAGGGTTGAAACTTAAGGAACTTAATCTATATATACGTACGGGCCCCAATCCCCAAATGGGCGTTCTTACCCATGCGGTTTCCCTGTATGGGTCCATGAAAGTTTTTTGCGGGCAAGTTATTAACTCGGGAATCTGAAAAGCTAGAAGGTTGGAATTTTAAGGAGATGTTCCCCGTTCATGCGGGTCTTAATGGGTTCTAATCCAGCTCCCAGGTACATGTGTTACCCACGTACAGGCCCATGAAAGTTCTTGCAGGTAAGTAGCTAACTTAGGAATCTGAAAAGCCAGAAGACTGAAATTTGAAGGAGATGTTTCCAACCCTTGTAGAACCTAGTGGCTTCAAGCGATTGTTCCCAGTGGCGCGTGATTCTCATATACGGGCCAGTCAAAATTTTTTACGGGTAAGTTGCTAACTCGGGAACCAGAAAAGCTAGAATATTACATTTTAAGAAAATTTCTGACAGTCCTGGCGGGTACTCCTAATTCTTTTAGCTAAAAGCATCTACCGGAAAAAACAGTATCGTTAGCGATAAGTGGCTGCCTACTCTCTCAATTTTCCTCTTTTACCCCTCGCCCCCTCTCCTAACCTACCACTACCTAAACTTATTTCTTCCAAGGCTCCTTAGATACCAGGAGTGGCATCTTCATTGCTGTACTATATTTCAGTTATTTTATTAAGATTTTAAACTCGTAATAATTTCCAAGTTAAAAATCCATACTCTGCTATTTCCCCAAGTTCTCAGTTCATAATCAGCTAAAAATGTGATCCACAATGACTGAGGGAAGAAATTAAGCGTTTATCGACAACAATATATATATAAAAAACGCTCTTTTTCGCACTTTTCTCTCAAAACTTGATAAAAGCCCCGTAGTCCGTCTTCATCCCAGAAG